TTGGGGTTCAGTGACCCTGTGTTTGCTCCAAAGAGCATCCTCTTGTTTTGCCTGTTGTGTTGTTAAGTACCATCGAGTCGGTTCCGACCCATAGCGACCCTGAATAGGGTTTCTGAGGAGCAGCTGGTGACCTTGAACCGCCAACCTTGCAGTTCAAAAGGCTTTGCAGTCTGGCGCATTAACCCACAGCACCACACCAGGACTCCCTTGTTTTGCCTAGGGTGTGCAAAAAAAAAATAGGGAACCTGAAGGCAAAGATGTGGTTCTGGCCCTGACTTGACTATCCTACCTCGCATGCTTTCTTTGCTGGGAATTCTCTCTTCTTCTGCTATGTGGGGAGCACTGGTGGCACGGTCATTAAGCACTCGACTGCTAACCAAAAGATCAGTGGTTCTAACCCACTGGCCACTCTGTGGAAGAAAAATGGGGTGGTGTGATTCTGTAAAGATTACGGCCTTAGGAAGCTGGGGGCACACTGTGAATCCGACATGACTCAGGGGTGGTGCCTTTGGGGGTTTTGTTTGCCTTTTGTTTGGGTCCTTCTAGGCTATTCCTGAGGGTGCTGCTAGGTTCCAGATGACCCTCCTCCAGCGGTTACCTCATATGGGTCCAGAGTGCACATCAGTTCCAAACTAAATGATAGGGGCATAAAACTTGGAGCAAGTGACAACATCCCAGCTAAGTCTCTCCTCTGTGACTAAAGCTGTTGAATGAGATGCTCATGGATCTTTGACAATGTTTCCTGCCACATGGCTTAGAGAAGCAGAGGATAAAGTCGTTCTGTAGGGAAGAATGGAGAACAAGATATACTGGGAATCCCGAGTGCACCAACCTCATCCTGGGCTTCTGTGGGACTCCTCTTACTCTCTCTTTAAAATGTTTTATGGTGAATTATGTGATAGTTTACATGGGAGAACATTAGCTTTACATTCATTCTATGGTTACAATCCCCTCCATGCATCATCAACCAACCAAAGGGTATACCCTGCAAGCCTGCCCCTCAGTCCTCAGCACACAGCCCCTCGCCCTCTCTGGATCTCAAGTCCCCAGCTGCTCCATCTCTTCACGCCATCATCTCTGCCTCCATCTCTGGCATCACTGTTTCTCTGGGTAGGGTCCCGCTCTCCGCTCTTCTCCCTTGATGGTCCCAGGGACTTCCACTCCTGGTCTGCAAAGTCAGTCACTCCCCTCCTTTTGCTACAAGACGTCTGCCTTTACTTTCCAACCCTCACAGTCAGTCCTGATAGTAATTATTCCTCCCCTTACTCTTACAATACTCTAATAGTCTTCCTCCTACAGAATCGAGCTAGACTTGGTTTCTGTTGCTTGTGACTGGAAGCACCGAGAACATTTAACACAGGTAACCCCTGTTTTGACTCTCCTTTATCAGCATCACCTGCTTTTGGATCAAGCATTCTGGGAACATTTCTAAGTGGTTCCTGCTGGACTGTGAATGTGGTTCTGTGCATTTTCTCTGGATCTTGTGGTAATTTGTGTTCAGTTTCCAGGATGCCAGGCAGCTCAGGAATGCCCTCCAGCTGACACCTTTGCCAGACCTGATGTGAATAACATATAAAAATCCACACTATTGAGTTATATCCACAAGGCAGGTCTGGAAAGGCAACTGCTTTCATTAGAAGCAGTTTCCAAAGATTGGTAACCTAATATGAACTCAGGAAACCCGGGACTGAGGTAATAAGCTATGGGTTCAAATGACCACTAGGTTGGGACTTTCTTTGATGTATTTAACATATATTTATTGAACTTATAATATGGGATGAACTGAGTTCAGTGGGTTTATCTTTGGGCTGCTAACCCCAAAGTTGGTGGTTCAAACCTCCCAGGCCCTCCCAGGAGAAAAATCGAATAGTCTGTTTTTGTGAAGATCCACAACTAGAGAAACCGGAAGAAGCACATCTACTTTATCTTGTAGGGCCACTAAGAGTCAGAACTGGCCTGCTGGCAGTGAGGGGGAGGGAGTGCTCGGCACTGTTTTCAGCACTGGGATATTAAAGTGGAAAGATGTGTCGGTTACATGGTGCTTCAATTCTGGCAGAATGTGGTCATTCCCACATTTTCTGCTCTGGGGATGCAAAAATGAACACATTTCGGCCCCAACTATTTCAAACATTTGAACTTTGCCTTCCTTATTTGTAAAATGTAGTTTAAACGAATTACAGAGCTGTTTACAAACCTCAAACCCACTGTCATGGAGTTCATTCTGACCCAAGACCCCTTTATAGGTTTCCAATTGTCAACGGTCCTTGTGTGGGTTCCATTCATAGCAACTCTGTAGGTGACCAGAAGTAGCTGGGTTTGAATCACAGAACTTGAGCAGTTAAGTGCTTGTTTCACAGCGCCACACCAGGACCCCACAGTGTTGCTGTCAAGTGCCATCGAGTCGATGCTAACCCATAGTGACCCTGTATAGGGTTTCCGAGGAGCAGCTGGTGAGCTTGAACCACTGACCTTGCAGTTCAAACGGCTTTGCAGTCTGACAGCATTACTCCACAGTGCCACACCAGGACTTCCGGTGTTGTCTGTTGTGGTGATGTGCTGTGGAGTCGGTTCCAACTCATAGCGACCCTGTACAGGGTTTCCGAGGCTGTAAATCACTATGTTTAGGTGATTAAAAAACAAAACAAAACATTGCTTCATAAGCACATTCTTGCTTTTTGGTGGTGTTTGTTGTTAAGCACCATGGAGTCTGTTGTAGCTTATTACGACGTAGCTTATTACGACCTACGACCCCTAGTGTATGGGGTTTCCGGAAGCTTTTAGATCTTTTAAAACCTCATCTTTCACTCTCAGAGTGACTGGAGGGCTTGGTGCCCTCGACTTTATCGTTCGCATTCCAACGTTGATCCTATGGAGCTCCCTTCTTGATACTTAAGTCTCACCAGATATTACAAACTCCCTGAAAAACCCAAAAAAGTTACACTTACCCTCACAAACCACCTACCAGGTTGACCCTCCTAGGAGTAGGAGAGTCCTGAATAGCTCATGAATACAGCTCTGGTAGCGCAGTTGTTGTTGTTGTTAAGTGCCATCGAGTCGGTTCCGACCCATAGCGACCCTGGACAGGGTTTCCGAGGCTGTAAATCTTTACGGGAGTAGAAAACCTCATCTTTCTCCCGCAGAACAGCTGGTAGTTTCGAACTGCTGACTTTGCGGTTCGCAGCCCGATTCGTAACCACTACTGCGCTACCGGAGCTCCTTCTGGTAGCGCAGTACAGTAGTGGTTACGAATAGGGCTGCTAATCTCACTGTTGGCAGTTCGAAACTACCAGCTGTTCCGCGGGAGGAAGATGAGGTCTTTTGCTCCCGTAAAGATTTACAAGCTCAGAAACCCTGTGCAGGGTCGCTATGAGTCGGAACTGACTCCAAGGCACATAACCACAACAATAAACAATAACCCTAAAAAAAGACTGTCAAATGCGCCTTTGCTTTGGCCTGGGATGTGGCGCGTAGGCAATCAGAAAATGACCACGAGGGGGCAGCGCACTGCAGGAAATCTCTTCAACCACCCTTGGCTGCAAACCGCCCAAACTTCCCTGCTTCCCGAGTTCCTACGGTACGTATTTCCGTTGCTCTGACGCTCTCAGAAGCCTGGGGTTGGTAAGGAGAGCGCGAATTTCCCGTCCTCTGCGTTTCCTGAAGAAAAATCGGAGAGGGGTTAAAGAAGACACTGCGCTGCGGAGCACAGAGAGGGCGCTGGAGACCCTCGCCACTGCGCCCCGTGTCCTGTCTGGTTGGCAGCGGGCGATTCCTTCGGGACGGCTGGGGAGGGTTGGCCCCCGGGCGCCGACGGCTGCGCCGCCCCCGCGAACTAGAGGCGCCTTTCCCTTCCTGCTTCGTCTGGCGGCGCTCCGCAAACATCCCGCATCTCCGGGCTGTGGTTTCTGCACGCCGGGTAGAAAGGGGACCGGATTCGGAAAGCTTCGGGGAGTCGTCGGGGGGAACGTTTCCCTAACATGGCGTGTGCCCCCCCATCTGCTCTCTGACGTTGGCAAGGAAGGAAATCCAAGAACGTAGCCAAAACTTTCCTTCGTGGCCACACTGGGAGACTTGACAGAGACCCGGTGAACACTGTAGAAGACACTAGGGCCCCAAAGGGAGAAAAGGGCAGGGAGGAAGCCATCCGAGCTGGTGTCCATCATTTCCGAAGACCCCTGGAGGATTACCTAAGGGACACGGCCAATCGCGGGGTGCAGCCGAGACCTGGGGAGTTCCAGCGGGACGCAAGGAGCCCCTTCTCCGCCCCCGGTGTCCCGGGCCTCCGGCAGTGACCGTGACCTCCGCGCCGCCCTGCAGTGCCGCGGTTCAGCGCACTGGCTCTCGGCAGAGGAAGAGGAAGGGTCGGCTGAAGCCAGCGAGGGCAGCGGCTGGAGGGCAGGGACTCGGGCGCATGGAGGCGCCGCGGGGGCGGTGCGGTTCGCCAGCGCCTCCGAGGAGCGTTCCCCTGGGACCCGGCAGGCCGCTCTCCGCACTTCCTGCCGCGGGGCTTCAGGCAGTGGGCAGCGGCTCTGAGTCAGGAACCCGCTGAGAGTCCTGCCTGGCGGACTCATCGGCCACCAGCACCGGTGCCGGCGCGCGAGGCGGGACAGGTGTCTCCGGCAGCCCCGGGGGGCGCTCGGCTTAGAAGGACAGCTGTGGGCTCAGGCTTGGGCGGGAGTTTGCGCGCAACGGAGTAGAACTCTGGATCGGAGCGAAGCCAGCCATTCCGTGCGCAGCTTTCCACCGCCGCTGGAGCCTTGGGTCCCCAGCTCCGTGGGAAGATAGCAGAACTCCTTTGCTTCGCTGCAGCCGCCGCCCTTCTGGCACTCACCCCCCTCGGCCCCGCTGGCCTCTGCCGTGGGTGAATGAAGTTGAGGCGGAGCCCAGCGTTTCGGCGGCGATCTGAGCCGCTGCCCTGATGCCTGCTGCCCGCGGCAGGCCTTGCTCCGGCCCCAGGACCTAGGACAGCTGAGCGCGCGGCCGCCGGCGGCGGCGCCTTCTCCATGCTTCTCGGAGCCTCTTGGCTGTGCGCTTCCAAGGCGGCCGCCGCTGCTGCGCAGAGCGAGGGTGACGACGAGAGGCCGGGTGAACGGCGGCGGCGGCGGGCGCCGGCCACGGCCGCGGTGGGCGAGGAGATGGACGAGTCCTCGCTGCTGGACCTGCTGGAGTGCTCTGTGTGCTTGGAGCGCCTGGACACCACCGCCAAAGTGCTGCCCTGTCAGCACACCTTTTGCCGCCGCTGCCTGGAGAACATCGTGTGCTCCCGCCACGAGCTGCGCTGTCCCGAGTGCCGCATCCTGGTGGGCTGCGGTGTGGATGAACTGCCGGCCAACATCTTGCTGGTGCGCCTGCTGGACGGCATCCGCCAGAGGCCCCGTGCGGGCGGCAGCGGCACGGGGAGCGGCAGCAGCAGTAACGGCAGCAGCCCCCCGGCGCGCCCCAGTCCCGGAGCAGCCCCCGCGCTAGGGGGCGGCGGCGGCGGGGCGGCAGGCAGCGCCCCTGGCTCCCCCGTCTTCCTTCCCGTGGAGGCGGCGGCCGGCAGTGCCACCTCCAGTCTGCGGGAGCTGGCCGCTGCCAGCAGGAACGCGCCTTTGGCAAAGGTGGGTTTCTGTCCCTCGGTGCAGAGTCATGGAGGGTGTGAGTGTGTTGGGGGTGTTTGTGAGTATGTGAGTAACAGTGGTGGAGAGCAAGGGAGGTCCCTCATTTACCTTGCTCATCTTTCTCCAACTTCCTTTGGCCCCAGAGACTCGGTGAGGGTTCTTATTGGACACTCTTGGACGTGTTGCCCTCAAACCCATCCTGCACTGCTCGCTCGCTGGAACTTCTTGGTCTCAGTTCCCTTCATCCATCCTCCCGGTCTGGAATTCCTTCTCCCACCACCTGCTACGTCTGGTCCCAGCGCACCTCCCCACCTGTTCATATCCCGCAGACTCAGTGTGTGAGTCTCCTGCGCATGTGGGCACTCTTTCTGCCCCCCTGCTCACACCTGATGGCAGGGCTCTTAAAGTTTGCTCCTTCTTGTCATCCTCTCAAAAACTGCCCTCTTGTCCTGGGCGCCCAGGCTCACCCTCTGAATGCGCGCTTTCTAGTTGGCTCTTTGGCGCGCCTGAGGATGCAGTTCCTTCTAAATGTTTTCTGGCTTCTGATCTGGAAGATCCTGAGACTTCTGCCTCTGTGTGTGTGTGTGTGTGTGTGTGTGTGTTTGGCGAGGGAGGGAGGGAGGGACAGAGGAGAGGGCAGAGTGAAATGTGGGATGCGTTTGGCAACTCCGTTCTAGTGGAAGGAACGGGTTAACCCAGATGCCCCCCCCTCCCCCCAGGAGAGTCTTGCCCATTCCCTTCTAGGGAACTTGGCACCGTCTGCCAGGAGCCTTGCTTCTGTCCTTGGCTGTTTGCAGGACTAGGTTCCCACGTGGGTAGTTAGGATTTCCTTTTGTGCACCTACACTGTGGAGTGTTCACTGCTTTTATTTCACTCAAAGGACTCTTGAGGGCTTTAGTAATTTGCTTTCAAAAGCTTCTTAGAATTTGCCATTACACAATCTTAGCTGCTTTGGGGACCATCATGGGGGTGGGGAGGGGTTTAGCTCATGGGATGCTGGTTTACTCAGCAACAAGTTACCTCTCATTTTGTAATTTCTTTAAATGCACACTAGCCCATTTAAAGGCTAAAAAATAACATATCTTTAATGCATTGGAATTGTCATTTGTTTTAGAAATACAATTTTGTTCTAGTTTTGACCATGTAACGAGTAGATGTGCATTAAGGCATGTATATAAACCTTGGAACACGTATAGTTATGAAATACTGGGAACATTCTAGCCTCTGAATCACTCACCAACGCTACACTCTAAGTGTAAGAATGTAAGCTCTTGGCTGTTTATTTGCAGAGTTTAAATGTCATACTTTGCCAAACGCTGTGTTTTTCTCCCATGGATCAGGAAACAATGACTGTGCTTTCATTTCATTTACTGCGGATGGAGAATTTAGAATTCTTTACTTTGAATTGTGATTAAATACCTAAACTTAGGCGTTCTTGTCATAGCCTTTCAAAGCTTTCCTTCCTCCTCTTAACTGCTTTTATGTAAAGTGTTGTAGTTATCATTGGCAAAATAAGCAGGCTTTTACTCAGAGAATGGTATGACTTTGGGACCATGCTGACCACATACTTACAGGTGTCATCCCAATTCAATGTAAGGGAATTGTGCTTGACCTGCAGCTTGGAAGGTAAATCCTGCAGGAGGGAAGGTCAAAGCCCTGAGCTCCCTCCTGGAATTCTGTGGCCTTTGCAGCATTCCTTAGGACTGTTGATGGCATTGAAGCTTGTAACTGTTTGTAATACACATAGTAATAGGGAGCTAGGTTTTTTGTTCATGAGATCTGGGAACACTGGTTGACTTTCTTTATGGGGACATGCAGTAATTGGACTATCTACTACTGCTCTGTAAGGAGCTTTTAGAATATTTTAGAAAAATTTTTATATGTATGTTAGAATATTTTCTTGTGTCCTTCCTTTCTTCCTCCCCACTTAATTAATTATGACTTTCAGTTCTTTCTACAGATGCATCTTAAAGACAATAGATTTGGGTTCTAGAAAGAGTATGAATCTTACACATGCTGCTTTGAAGAGAAAAAGCGTGATGGGGGTGGGGATCCAAATGCTTTCTAGAGGTTCATCCACAGCTTTTTAATAGTCAGCGGAAGTCTTCTTGATCAATGAGAAGTCTGCATGTTATCTTCAGACCTCTACTCTAGGTCATGGCATTTTGGTTTCTAATGCGTCTTTATTTCACGGGACAGGGTTGTTGTTATTAAGTGCCGTTGAGTCAGTACTGACTCATAGTAACCCTGTATAGGGTTTCCAAGGAGCGGCTGGTGAGCTTGAACTGCTGACCTTACGGTGCAAAGTGACCTTGCGGTCCAGCGCATTAACTCACAGTACCACACTAAGACTCGGGGGAGGAGGGAAAGGACTGTAGTTGATTCATTGCTATTTGAGCTGGTGCTGATAAGTGTTCCTCTGCTTCATAAGGTTTCCAGGGACTGAGTGTATTCAGAAGTAGTCCGTCTCACCTTCTTCCTACTTTGTCTTTGTCTGAAAGCTCAGCTGAAACCTGTCCACTGTGGGTGACCCTGCTGGTATTTAAAATACCTATAGCATAGCTTCCAGAATCACAGCAACACACGAGCCACTGTAGTACAACAAACTGACAGACGAGTGGTGGATACACACAGAGTCAGTATACCAAAAAGAAATGGTTGATGTTCAACCATTTTAAGAGGCAGCATTTGATCGAGAGCCAATGATCCTGAAGAAAAGAAGTCCAACGTGCGTTGAAGTCATTGGCAAAGAACAAGGCACCAGGAATAAATGGGGTACAATTGAAATCTTTCAACAAACTGATGCAGAACTGCAGGCACTCATCTCTGCCGAGAAATTTGGAAAACAATTACCTGGCCATCAGACTAGAAGAGATTCATATTTGTGTCCATTCCAAAGAGAGGTGACCCAGTGAAATATGGAAATCATTGGACAATATCATTGATATCCTATGCGAGTAAAGTTTTACTAAAGGTAATCCAAAAACATCTGCAGTCATACAGTAGCAGAAAACTTCCAGAGGGCCAAGCCAGTTTCAGAAGAGGACTTGGAACGAGTGATATAATTTCTGACGTCAGTTGGATCTTGGCTAAAAGTAGAGAATGCCAGAAAGATGTTTACCTGTGCTTTATTAACTATGCAAAGGCTTTCCATTGTGTGGATCATGACAAGCTATGGAAAACATTGCAAAGTATAAGTTTTCGGAACACTTAATTGTGCTCATGAGGAACCTGTACATAGACCAAGAGGCAGTTGTGTAAACAGAACAAGGGAACACCGAATGGTTTAAAATCAAGAAAGGTGTGTGCCAGGGCTCTATTCTTTCACCATACTTATTCAACCTGTATGCTGAGCAAATAATCCCAGAAGCTGGGTTCTATGAAGAAAATTGTGATTTGAGGAAGACTCATTAACAACCTGTGATATGCAGATGATACAACTTTGCTTGCTGAAAGTGAAGAGGACTTATAGTACTTACTGATGAAGATCAAAGACCAAAGCCTTTGGCATGGTTTGCATCTCAATGTAAAGAAAAAAAATCCTCATCACTGGACCAATAAATAACATCCCATAGAAATGGATGGAAGTTGTCGAAGACTGCATTTTGCTTGGATCAATCATCAACACTCAAGGAAGGAGCATTCAAGAAATCATTGTATTAGGCAAATCTGCTGCACAAGACCTCTTTAAAGTGTTGAAGAGCAAAGATGTCAGCTTAGCGTAAGGACTAAGGTGCACCGGACTCAAGCCCTGGTATTTTCAATAACCTCATATGCATGCAAAAGCCTCATACGGAAGACAGTAAAAGAATTGATGTTTTTGAGCTATGGTGTTGGAGGAGAATGTTGAAAGTGTCATGGGCTGCCAAAAGAACCAACAGATCTGTGTTGGAAGAAGTGCAGCCAGAATCCTCCTTGGAGGCCAGGATGGCCAGACTTCGTCTCTCATACTTTGTACATATTGTCAGGAGGGACCAGTCACTGGAGAAGGATATCATGTTTGGTAAGGTGGAGGGTCAGAGAAAAGGCGGAAGACCCCCAACGAGATGGATTGCCACAATGGTGGCAGCAATGGGCTCAGACCTAGTAATTAATGACTGTGAGGTTGGCCCAGGAGCAGGCAGTGTTTCATTCTGTTGTACATAGGGTCACTATGAGTCAGTACCTACTCGATGGCACCTAACAACAACAACAGTATTTGAGCTGAGAGTTCTGGTCTGGACTGGCCTGCTAACCACAAGGTCAGCAGTTCAAGCCCACCGAAATCCTGTATAGGTTTGTTATGAGTTGGAACTGACAGAATGACATTTAACGACAACAACAATTTGATCTGACAAGTACTTTTACGCAGGCTTTACGTGCTGTATGTACTGGGATTGTTTTTTTCCTGTAGCAGCGCTGAATGTTGATGCACGATTTTAATAAATGAGCATTCTTGTCATCATTCGGTAAATATCATCTGTGACTGAGTGTCAGACTCGCTTGAATATAAGATAGTACCGTACTTTCCCAATAAGAAACTCCCCACACCTTCTCTTGGGCCAGTTTGCGTGTGTCAACTTTTAAAGTATGTAGATAAGGAAACAACTTTTTGGAGTGTTTCCTTGGTTAATTTACTGACACTTCAGGCACTGGGAATGCACTTACATTTGGACTGCGTCTTGGGGAAAATGTGTTACTCTCTTTTTGTGTCCACTTGCCTTTCATGAAACATGTTTTCTCCACCTCGTCATCTGCATCATTTTCAGCGGGTGTTTGGTTCTCATCAGAGCTCCTTGGATCAGCCCGACCTGGTTGGCAGAACTTCTTGGCTTTAGTTTCACCTGAGTCATTTGTGATAAGATTTTTTTTTTTTTTGCATTAGTTAATCATTGGTTAATGATTCTGCCCGTGGTAATTTTATACAAAGTTACAGTTACTCCGTACCCAATGTTGTACCACTGCCTTTTCATTTTCCCTGTTGGCAAATATTTGTCATGTGTGGAATCTTAGAGGTCTTT